CTCGTATGGACTATACTACATTCCAGTTCACTGAAATAACACAAATATTCACAGTTCAAATGATAATATTAGTCCTGTTCGGATATTACTCATGTGTAAAGGCAACACCAGAGAGCTACAATGCCAGCACTGCAAAGGCATGGTTACCACCTGTTCTGGATGTGGTGACCCTCAAATTCTGGGACTAGGACAAGGGCTTTTCCCACTTCAAATTGAGTTTTCTTTCTTTCTTTTTCTTGGAGTTCCTGCTTTGTGGGTTAGAAATGTGTGAGGTCACTCCTTGATGAGAGGAGTTCCACTCATCCTTGAGTTCCACTCATCCTTGAGTTAGAATATTGGGTGGGAGAGAGCAACCAGGGTGAGAGCCAGATTACTGTCTCTAGGGCAATATATCTCTGTGATTGATGAGTGACAATTTGCTTTGATCTTTTGTATGGTTTTCTCTTTTTTTGTATGGTTTTTTTGGTATGGTTTTTGAATTATGGTGCTGGAGGAGACTCTTGAGAGTCCCATGGACTGCAAGAAGATCAAACCTATCCATTCTGAAGGAAATCAGCCCTGAGTGCTCACTGGAAGGACAGATCCTGAAGCTGAGGCTCCAATACTTTGGCCACCTCATGAGAAGAGAAGACCAGGAAAAGACCCTGATGCTGGGAAAGATGGAGGGCACAAGGAGAAAGGGACGACAGAGGACGAGATGGTTGGACAGTGTTCTCGAAGCTACAAACATGAGTCTGACCAAACTGTGGGAGGCAGTGGAAGACAGGAGTGCCTGGCGTGCTCTGGTCCATGGGGTCACGAAGAGTCGGACACGACTAAATGACTAAACAACAACATGGTTTTCTCAGTGCGTGGTCTAATTGTCCCCTTGCATTTTTGCAATACATTTTATAGGAATGTGGATGGAATTATTGGTTATAGTGGTTTGGTGAAAGGGAGAGATACTGAGGGGATTGAATGGATGATGCACTTATATGTAATGGTAGAGGTGTTAGAGTAGAATGGGATTGGAGATGGTGTTTGAGTACATGTCAGTGGGGTGAATACTGCATGTTGTCAGTCTGGATGCTCCTTGGCAAGAGGGGAAATGGAGAGGGAAGGGATCTCTGGTTCTTAAGATGTTTTGGAAATGTGCTATGTTTTTGCTTGGGCGGGATTTTATTGTTTTATCTGGTGTAGTTTTTTAGTTTCATTGTTTATGTCTTTGTGTGTGTTTGGTTATTTTTTGTGAATTATTTTTTATAAAATTTATAGATTAGAGACTGGTTTGGTATTAAGCAGTATAAATATATTAAATAATAACACAAATACAAAAGGCAATGCATCTTTATCACCACAGTTGTGCAGCTTATTCTGGCTTAGCATGTGTTTGGGACAAAGACTGACAGTGAAAAGCCTACTGTACTTCTCAGAAGATTTAGAACCCCAAAAACATCAGAAACACACATCATGGTCTGATTTTTAAAGCTCTGTGTCTGAGCACACTTAATTTTGCTCCAGAGCTTTGCCTCTCAAAAATCCATGCTTTAAAGTTCCATTGGAGCAAATGTCAATCCACAGAAAACCCAAAATGACATTTGCTCCAACTGAACACTAAAGAATGGGTTTTCACAGGGAAAGCTCCAGAGCAAAACAAAAACAAAAATGCTCAGAGACAGAGCTTTTTCTTTTTTTAAAAATAATATTTATTACTTTTAAAAATTACAGAAAAGGAAAAGAAAAGAAACAAAAGAGAAAGAACAAAGAAAGGAAAAAAAGAACAATACAATACAATATATAACAATACAAAACACAACCTAATCACATTGAACTAAATTAAACAAAACCCTAACCCTAAACAAAACAAAACAAAACAATAACCATTTAAAGACATAAATCACACCCTTTCCATACTCTATTTTTCATTCCCTTGTTTCCTCTACTTCCTCTCACCTCCCTTTTTGTATTCCACTTCTATTAATTGTTTCAGCAAACCCTTTCCATCTTTCTCTATTTTCTGTCTTATTATAAATATCTTAACATATTTTTATCATTAAAAACTAAATACTCATATATCCTTAACTCCTTATAACATTTCTACTAAAGCCATAAAATTTCTTTCCACCATTTTTCTATCATTCATTAATTTTGCAATATTTCTATATATAAACTTTAAAATCTCTAATCTTCATCCACCATCTCCTCTCCCTGGTTTCGGATTCTGCCAGTCCTTTCCGTCAAATCCATATAGTCCATCAACCTGGAGATCTTATGTCCGAGGCTCTTAAGTCTTTTCCAGGTCCCTTCTGCAGGTCTTCTTCATATTCTTTAGTGCCAAAAAGCAAATCTCGAGAAAACTCCAACCTAGCAATACTTTTATTCCTTCCGGACAAGTCAGCCAAATTTCCATAGTTAAAGCTGAGGTCTATAAGATGTTTCATGACATGTTTCAATATTCCTCCAAGTCCCAAGGCCCCCAAAACTCCAGTCTCCTCCAAACCCAAGTCCATGTCCCAAAAGTCAGTTAATCCCTGCATAGAAGGATCTTTCCAACTTTCCTTCTTCCGTCCAAGCCGGGATCCAATCTTCAAAATCTGGCTTTTTCTAGATTCAATCGTAGAAGGCCTCAACTTGTAGTCCTCAATTTGCTTCTGTATGGCTGAAAATCCCACTTGTATTACTTCAGGCTCAGCCACCACAGCTTTCTTTTTCTCCTCCGCAATCTGTCCAACCAAAGTAATTTCTTGTGCCAAGTCCTGAATTGTTCCTGTATTGATGCTCACTTTTTGACTCCAATTAGTTACTTTTTGGTCCAAATTGTCAATTTTAAAAGAAGTGTCATCTGTCTTCTTATGGAGCTGTTCCAGCGAATAGCTTATCTTACATAATACCGTCACAATGGTTTCTCCTATCAACATTTTGAGTGGTCCAAGGTCAAACTCTAGTTCTCTCACTTACTTATCATACAGCTGGTGCAGTCCTGTGACAGTTTCAAAAACTTCCTCTAGAGGGAAACAGTCTCCACTTGTATCAATCCTTTCAAGCACAATTCAGACCATAAAAATAGTTTCACTTTCCAGGTACTTTTCCTCATTTTTAAACGCAGAAGAGGACAATGGAAACAGTATCTTTCTCTTATATAACTAGTTGTCAAAAATGTTCTGTTCACAGTCAATGAACTCTCCCAAAATTTCCCTTTTTCTGGCAGCCCTTTTCCAGGTTCGGAGCAGTGATAATTTGATTTTTCACTCCCTCCTGCAGGCTCGCTAAGTCCAAAATCCCCCCCCCCTTCTCCTGCTTCCAGGGTTTTTTTTGTAACTTTAACCGATGAAAATTCAATCCTTTGCCAAAAGCTTCCAAAGACTTTAGCTTATAACGTCTTTGCTTCAATCTATTTACAAAAAAGGGGAAGGCGGACTTCCTGTTTAAAACCTTCCCCGTTTCGGTGCCGAATTAAATTATTTGAAGATCCAATTTTGCGTTCTACTCACGGGTAGTTGTTTAAAGTCCAATTGTCCACAGGAAAAAGTCAGCGCTCTCCGGCAACAGCAATGCGGCTTCACTCCGCGAAAAAAGCAGTCGATTCGAAGCACCGCGCCACTCACCCCACGTCGCTCCGGATCCCCGAAACCGGGTTTCCCCGCGAGTAGGGGAGGCGCAAAGGTGCCAGCCGGATCCCAAGTTCACAAGCTTCTCCCGCTTGTGATTTCAGTGGGTCTCCACCTTTGCCGTGGCGGTCAGACCCTGGTTTTCGCGGAGCTAGTTCCTCCCGATCGGAGGAGCTCCACCATTGCCGGAGGCGCCAACCCGGAAGTCCCCAGACACAGAGCTTTTAAGCGTGGACCTGTGCCTGGAAAGAGCAGGGCAAAAGGTAAGCGTGGGTAAGCCTTATGGCAGCAACATGGAATCCATAGAGAGATGCTTGTTTGGCTCAAGGGGCCCAAGCAGTGATTATAATGCACATAACTGTGGAAATGTTCAGGAAGGCAGGAGAGGATATATTGTTTAATTATATCCTTCCCAACTTGTGTTAACAAGTTCTACAATTTAGCTTAGTAACATTCCCCTTTTTACACCTGTACAATGGATAATGTCTTTGCCAGGCTTGTTTAAGCCTCTAAAATAAGTTTCCTGGTAATTCCCCTTTATTCCCTCATAAAAGATTAGACATGACACAGTCTTGTATAAAAGTAAAAAGGAGTTTACTCACACACATTCTGTTCACAGATGGATCCCAGAAGGCAGACTTAGGTTACAAAATACATACACCTGGAATCTATTCCATAAGGAAATAGCTCCTTTGTCCTCTCTTGGCTGGAGGACGTTGCTTCTTCGAGGAATGGAGTCAGAGAGAGCTGCCTCCCCTGTGCTATTTTGTTACCTGAATAGGTGAGGTAACGCCCACCTCTGGTCACATGTAGTGGAAGTTGTCCCAGCCCAGGAGGAAACAGGAAGTTCCAACTGGCTGGTCCAGACATCTCCTTTTTATGTCCACTCTAGGAGTGTTGTATCTGACTGCTCTGTGTTTCACACCCCACAATAACTGCCTCAGCACATGGTTCAGCCACAGATATAGAAAATCTCCATTTTATAGGGCCATATGGAAAATCACTTTCATATGGAAAAGATTCACAGTATGGGGTAGATGCGGTCTTAATTACTGAACTTGTCATCATCATATGAAATAAAGCTGCAAGAATATTGTCTTGTACAATACATTCCTACATCAAGTGAGACGCATGGGGATAAAGTAGCATGCAAGACATCAGAAAGAGTTTTAGAATCCTGTAGGCAACCAAATGCCTAGAAAATAAACAAACGCTTCCTATTTTGTGTCTGAATACTTCTGAATTGGCAGCAGTTATTATGAATTGATCCCCTTAAACATAGTAGCATGGAAAAAGCTATGCCACCACCCAGTGATTTGCAAGCAATGCACAATGTGCAGTGCCTTCCACATGGAATGCTTTCATCCAGGTTCCACACTACTTTCTCCCACATGAACCTGCTGAACAATTAAGATATTCGTAAGTGCAGAACCTGATATTTGTCCATATTGAAATGTATTTTGTTAGTTTTAAAGAACTGGAACAAAACTAACAAAATGAATTTCAATAGGAACCAATGTCAGGTTCTACACCTAGGCAGGAAGAACCAGCTACACAACTATAAGATAGGGGACACCTTTACCGGGATCTAGGGATCTTGGGATCTTAGGAGACTACACCCTTAACATGAGTCAACAGTGTGATGCAGCAGAAAAAAAAGCAAATGTTATTCTAGGCTGCATTAACAGAAGTATAGTGTCCTGATCAAGGGAAGTAATAAGGTAAAGGGACCCCTGACCATTAGGTCCAGTCATGGACGACTCTGGAGTTGCGGCTCTCACCTCGCTTTATTGGCCGAGGGAGCCGGCGTACAGCTTCTGGGTCATGTGGCCAGCATGACTAAGCCGCTTCTGGCAAACTAGAGCAGCGCACGGAAACGCCATTTACCTTCCCGCTGGAGCGGTACCTATTTATCTACTTGCACTTTGACGTGCTTTTGAACTGCTAGGTTGGCAGGAGCAGAGACCAAACAACGGGAGCTGACCCCATCGTGGGGATTCGAACCACCAACCTTCTGATCGGGCAAGCCCTAGGTTCTATTCTGCCTTGGTCAGGCTACACCTAAAATACTGTGTCCAGTTCTGGGTGCCAAAATTTAAGAAGAATATTGACAAGCTGGCAGATGTGTAGAGGAAGGCAACCAAGATGATCAAGGGTCTGGAAACCAAGCTGTATAAGGAATTGTTTAGGGAACTGAGCATGGTTAGCTTGACAAAGAAGATACTGAGAGGAGATATGATAGCCTCCTTCAAATACTTAATAGGGCTGTCACATGGAGGATGGAGCAAGCTTGTTTTCTCCTTCTCTGCAGGCTATTATTTCTATAATTGAAATATTAATAATTGTAATCTGAGCAATATTAGCTATTCACTTGTATTAATTATGCTAGTCATGGAACTTTTGCTTTTAAAGTTTCTCAGTTCCGCAATAGTAATTATTCTATTTCATAGAACAATTTCTTTAACGGCAGAAGAGATTACTAATATTTCAGTATAGTAGATTATGACAGAATCAGGCACTTCTTCCTTTCTTTCAGAATTGTGTATATTTTAACATTTGAACTCATTTAACATTAAATATTTGCTTCGTGATTTGCAGTAGAGGAAAATGCCTTTTCCCCTTTTAACTAAATTACAAAAGATGTAAATGTGGTCTCACTTGTAGACAAATCAGCTACTCTTAACAATGAGGTGTAAATTGGTGTCTAGTTAATTCTATTCACAGTAGGGGGAGAAAGTATAGAATCATCAGCTTCTTAATTTTAGCAGTGGAACCTCAGGTACTTCATAAGAATTAACACTTTCCTTTGATTCTAAAACCATTGCTGATACTTTTTATTGCATCTACAATGCCATTCAGGTAGATTACCCATGCAAATAAACATGTATCATGAATATGCACGTGTATTTTTTTATAATTTAAATTTTTTAAAGTGAATTTGCAATGAGTTAACTTCATTTTCAAGAAGGAAGAAAAATAAAGAGGTATCTGTGGATCTATAAGAGTTGGAAGAGAGCCTGAGGATCATCAGGCCCAACCAGCTACAGTGCAGGAATATGCAGCTGTCCCTTATGGGGACTGAACCTGCAACATTGGCATTGTCAGCACTACGCTCTAACCGCCTGAGCTATCCAGCTATAATGAAAGACCAATTTCTGCCATAATAACTATAACCATAGTTAATATACATATGTAGTCTACATCAGGCCATGATCAAGGCAAGAATGTAGGTGAGCTGATTGACCCTGAATCCTGACCACACTAAGGGTACAAGACTTGTCTTATTGGTTTGTCAGCTGCAAGGTGGAAGATGCCAGATACTACTGAACATAAAAAACTGCTGCTCTGTTGAAAACCTGTGCCATCCATTACCACTGTAACATGCTAATGTGGGGTGGGTACAATCCCATACAGAGAGGAGGCACTGGGCTAGGAAACAAGAGACATTATTTATGACAATATGTAAGCATTCTTCTACAGCAGCTTGGCCAAGCACAACATGGAGCAGTGGCCTTGATTGCCTAGACAACGGACATTCACCCACCCACAGATTGTTACAACACAGAATAAAACAGTGCAGGGTGATGGAATCACTATGGTGATGTGCACTACTTTCCACCGTAGCATAGGATTAAAAAATCTTGTGAGACTCAGGTTCAAAACCTTAGCCATGTGTGGCCATCTTAAAAAGCCTTGAGTGCAGTTGATCATAGAGGAAAGATCTCTGGTGCTCCCACATTATTAGGAGAGGATGTAAAATAAGCAAAGTATTTGAAGAACTTGTGTTTCTTTTTGCTGTGGTCATTATAGTGGGTTGCATGGAGACACAATCAGCCTCCAACTATTCTTATATGTCTCATGGTAGCTCTTACAGCTGCTGCTGCAGCCATGATACTTCTAGGCAGTCTGAAATACCTCACTTCTCTATCTCTATCTCTGCCCAACCCCAGATATGCAGGCAGGGGGGCAAAGTAAGATCAAAGTGGTCTGGCTTGGCTGCAACAGTGGCCCACAAAAAGACCACACTGAATGGGTGCAGCCTTACAACAGATACATCACAAACCTGACACAATATAGGTACATCACTTCTCAGCTCATGTCACTTTATTTTTATTAGGGCACAGTAACTCAGAGTATATCAGTGTCAGCCTTCTCTGTCATTTCTCTTATATAACAAGTTTAAACAAGTCCATTTCTGTCTAGAAGGATCAAGTGCTGTCACCATCAAAAAGTGTGTCCACTGTTTTTAAAGTTTGCTCTAATGTTGGCCACCAGTCTACAAAATGGCCAAGGAAGATCACATAATGGAAAGGAAGGAGAATGATACAGTTGACTTAACTCTGCCAGTCTGTGTCTGTTTCACTTACTTTGAAATAATATACAGTGGTACCTCGGGTTAAGTACTTAATTCGTTTCGGAGGTCTGTTCTTAACCTGAAACTGTTCTTAACCTGAAGCACCACTTTAGCTAATGGGGCCTCCTGCTGCTGCCGCGCCGCCGGAGCATGATTTCTGTTCTCATCCTGAAGCAAAGTTCTTAACCTGAAGCACTATTTCTGGGTTAGTGGAGTCTGTAACCTGAAGCGTATGTAACCTGAAGCGTATGTAACCTGAGGTACCACTGTACAGACTATATACTTTGTGTGTGTATATATATTTCTGGGGGATAGACTATATGAGACCTTCACTATATGGGTGGGAGTGCAACTGATAGTTTCTAAGACCTACCCAAGCTTTGCTGCAAAGCTGTTCTCAGAACTGCATGTCATATGATGAAGGCACAAATTATAGTTATTGGTGAGGAAGATATAGAGAGGTCATGCCTCTCTGATGTATATAAGTTCCATTGTACTCTGAAGCTGAACATGATTTTGAGATCCAGCAGCAGCATCTGTAGCATACTGAACAAAGTATGCAGGAAGACTCCAAGGGTGACCCTGTTCTAAGGCTGGGCTGCAAGAGAGAAGGAATAGTCTTTGATGTAAAGCAGGACTGACAGTGTCTGAACTGAGAAAACGCTCAAGAATGGAGAGGGGCAAAGCAGAAAACTCCTTATGATTGTGGTTGCTGATGATGCAGAAGGAATACCCAAGCAGCACAGCAGATCAAACAGATGCCAAAGGACTAAAACCAGGGGCATTCTCCTTGTGGCAATGGTGTCCAGACAGTCACAACTATGATCAAACTACTACCTACATGCCTGAATAAAAAGGCGTCATTTTTAGTCTTATTCTGTAAGTGAAGGGTACGGCATTAATCCTGTTCATGCGTAAGGACGTATATTAACATATTCTGAGTAAGCACAGCAGACTATTAACAAATATACGTGATTCAAACACCAATACATCAATTTAAAACTACCTGAAAGATCTGCACTGTTGTCAGTTTTTTTCATTTAGAATAGTTTAATTAAAAACAGCTATACAGTAGTTAGTCTGAGTTAACATTACATTCATAAAGCACTACAGCAAAATGTGATTTAAAAATATAGTGATGCAAAACCTCTAGTTAATCAAAGTAGGAGATGAAAACCAATTAAATCAACCAACCTGTGAAAAATTAACTATCCTACTAAATAAAAAAAGTTATCTGATTGGTTAGGATTTACCTTGACTTAATTAAAAAAAACAACAACACTAGAAATGTGTATAAACTTGAGAGAAAGGAACTACTAGGCTCAGAAAGCTATCAGGAAAACCACAAAAAGAATATTAACAATACAACCCTGTGTAAGTTTTCTTTGGAAAGTCCACTTTCTTCAATGGGGCTTATTCTCTAGTAAGTGTGTTTAGGGTTACAGGCTAAATCAATCAAGCTGATTTTGCAGAATAAGGTCCAATGCAGAATAGCCTATGCTAGGATCAAGATAAAAAGCCTGCCAGATAAGTATTTAAATCGGGACCAGTGATAAGAAATTTGCTTACAATAGCAAACTGAACCAACAATTGAATAGGACCGACCTGCAATGAACAGCCTCTCACTAGCACCAACAAACCAGTCAGTCCATTATGCAGCAGCTAGAATATAATATATATAACCATTCAGAAAATTCTTCCAAATCAGTTTATATAATAACTGGTTCAAAAGCTCCCTGTTTTATTTTTGCATAATAAATCAGATCAAGAACTGTTTTCAGGATATTATAATGTAGTAGTCACCTCTTCCCTTCATGGAGAAAGCCTTTATTCATGTGGTCTGTTTAAGACAGTGGAGGCAGGTGGACTTCAGGACTGGAACAAATGGGAATGGGGACTAGCAACGAATAAGGAGGTGCACTGGTCTTTCTAGTTTATATAGCAGAGGTTTTCTGAGGTTTCCCGCGTCCACAGAGGACATCATCTCTCCTGAAGCAGGCCCCATCATTAAAAGTGCCTAAGAAACAGCTTCTAACAGAAAAAAGTGGAATCCTGGCCCTGGTCCTTGTCATGAAGGGGAAAGAAGCAGGTTGCGATTCTGACTCAAATTCAGATGGATCTGTGACTGTGCTCACTGCTTTACATCTATCTCACTCTCAATCTTATCAATACCAATTTAGTGTTGAAACAACAACAGGGATCATACCTAAGTATAAAGGTAAAGATAAAGGGACCCCTGACTGTTAGGTCCAGTTGCGGATGACTCTGGGGTTGTGGCGCTCATCTCGCTTTATTGGCCAAGGGAGCCGGTGTACAACTTCCGGATCCTGTGGCCATGGCGAACCAGAGCAGTGCACGAAAATGCCATTTACCTTCCCGCCGGAGCAGTACCTATTTATCTACTTGCACTTTGACGTGCTTTTGAACTGCTAGGTTGGCAGGAACAGGGACCGAACAACGGGAGCTCACCCCGTCACAGGGATTTGAACTGCCAACCTTCTGATCGGCAAGCCCTAGGCTCTGTTGTTTAACCCTTTACCTAACTATACTTACTATGAAAATAAATTTAACTTCTCTAATATATTTTAATCTGTTTTATACTGTGCAAACATGAAGCAAACACTCATACACCTTTGAGACCAAAGCAATACTAAATAGAGCAAAGCATACATGGATGCCAACAATAATTTTGTAGTCTGCTTTCTTTACAGAGGCAATGAGTCAGTGTAACTTTGTCCTGCTTGAAACTCATTTATGATTCCGAGCAGCAAAGTAATAGTTACCTCATATGAAGAATGAAAATAAGATAAAATATCACGTGACAATAAACCACAAACTTTGGTTTGTGCTGACAGAGGCACACCTAGGTTCTCTTTCACCCTTGGCAAGGAACTGTATCAGCACACACTGTATCTGTGCGCATCTTGAGTGCACAGATGGGCAGTTGAGCTCCTAGCCACTCCAAGCAGAGTGAATAGGCACCATTTCTGTGCCCCCCTGGCCTGTGCCCTTGGTAGGGGCCAACCTAAGCAACCCTAGACGCATCCCTGTGTGCTGATATGTGACAGATGTTGCTGACTCCTATACTGACAATTTCTCAGGCAAAGGGAAGTAAGCATGGACGCAAAGTATTAAGTGGATAACTATTCCATATGTTGTCCAGCAGCTAAAATGATGATGAGAAGATTATAACATATAGACAAAGTACTCTTCGTGAAACACAAATATGTTATTAAATAGCTACCAAATATTAATACAGAAAAATGAAACTATACACTATCATAGCTATCAAAATATTTCAAATTGAAAATATATTGCTCTGTTTTTATTATCTGATTTGTATTCCTCACTATTTTTATCCGCAGCTCACTCACAGAACAAGTATGTGAAAGTTATTTGCAGAAACATTTTATCGCAATTAGACCAAGGCTTTTCTTCCACATCCCTTCACTATATCAATGGTCAATAAAATTTGAAGACACTATGCCTGCTAACCAGTCTGGAATTGGTTTAAAGTAGAAATTCACCCACACATTATTTTTCAGAATATTCTACATTGATGTTGAAATATTCTGAAAAATAATTTGGTCAGCAAGGAACTGTATGTGCCATCCATGCTAAAAATATTCACTTGCATGAATGGTTAAAATGTCAGAAAGAAATCTAGACTAGAATTCTTCCAGCAGACATAACGGTTTTTCCACAGCTGGGAAGCTTTCACACATGCAATTCCATCATTATACCCTGAAATGGTGTAGGAAAACCACATAATTTTTCCTCAATGTGTTGTTTGGCCCATAGGCCCAATTTGAATATTATAGCATATAGTATAACTGTGCTCATTCATGAAGTTTTCCACACACCTGATAAATGCCATGACAATATACTTAAGTTACAAACAAAGTGGCTGGATATCCAATTTAAACATTAAGAGAACCATGTGGAACAATAGATAAGCAAGCAGCTTTAATCAGCTAGACATCATACCTTAGTTTGTGCATCTTCATGGAGCAATGTAAAATAAATAATACTTTTTGTGTCTTTTTTATATGTACTTATTATGTATTTTGGGTTTGCAAAATGTCACCCACCCTGAGATGACTGATAGCCTTCCCCTCCATTAATCTGTCTAAACCTCCTTTAAAGCTATCTAAGTTGGCTTCCTGTGGGAGTCAGTTCCATAACCTAGCTATGCACTGTGTGAAGTATTTTGTTTTATCTGTCCTGAACCTTCCAACATTCAGCTTCATTGGATGTTCATAAGTTCCAGTCTTAAGAGGAAGAAAAGCTTTCTGGCATAATTTTATAAACTTCTATCATGTCACTTGTTACTCATCTTTTCTCTACACTAAAAAGTCCCAAAACCAAGCTGCAAACTTTTGAGGAGTTGCTCTACCTCCATCATTTTGGTTGCTGTTTTCTGAACCTTTCCCAACTCTACATGATATAATAGCACCTGATCTCCAATGACATGCCAAGTTCCCTTGGAGACAAGAGCATTACGTCATGGTAAGCCAAGTCTCATGTATTTCCACTCATGTTAAGCAAGGAATGCAGTGAGAAATATTTAACGGTAGGCGCTTGCATGCAGATTGTTCAAAGAAAGCCATGGTCTAAACATGGCCACCCAGTTGCACTGAAGCCATCAGTATTAAAACAAAAGTTTCAGGTAGTTAAAATTGAAATCGGCCTTGAACATATCTCATTCTATTGCCTTTGCATTAACCTGAGATGAAAACTATGGTCTGGACATTGGATAGACAGAGTTGCTAATTCACAGCAAGGACCTCAAATGGTGGTCCGAAGCACATGTAACACACTTTGGGATTCACTCCATCGTCATTATTCTCATTTACTTGTATACCAATGCTCAAGGCAGCTTTCAACATCAAAAAAATTGTGTAATTCACTCAAACACTTACAAAATTTCAATAGTTATATACAATAACTATTGAAAACATTTCAATAAATATAGAATAAAATTAAGCAATTCTTGCATAATAAGGTATAACAATACAAAAAGATATTTCCAATAGCCCTAAAATTAGGATGACTATAAGTTTATAATACTGTTCCTAAATACATGTTCCTGTTTTTCTGTTTCTGTTGATTGTTTTTATGTTTTTAAAAATATACTGCAAACAGGTTTCGAAATATTAATTGGCTTCATAAATATTTAATTAAAACCTCTGAATTAAAAAACAAAAAACCAAACCACTAGCATCTCGAATCATGTGAAATGATTTTCAACTAAATTTACTGCAATCCTATTCATACCTATCTGAGAGTAATCCCCAATGCCCTAAATGGGCCCTACTTCTGAATACACATATAGATTTGCATTGGAAAAGAAAGCCATGACAGGATCACAATATACCGGTAACTGTCACTACCCCCAAACAGGCGTAATTTAACACGGAGGTGGAATAATAATAAGCTATTTGCATAAATTATCAAATTATTGTATGCTTATCAGTGCTTTTACTGACAGATCTTATCCCTGCATGGTGAAAAGGCTCAACAACAACTTTCATAGTGACAAATTGGCAGGTGAGAGTTGTAGTTCCCCAAACATGTCAGATTTTAGCCAGACAAATATGTACAAATATTTTGTATGGAAAATTTTTAAAAATCATCTTTTAATTGTGTTTTTAGTTTAGAAAAATGTAATTTACTATTTTACAGTAACTTTCACTTCTTAGCATACTGTAGGAGCTGTCTACAATATTTAACAATATTAATTTTTAAGAGTTAGTGTTATGGAATCTCTATTTTTTAAAAAGGAACCTTTGAAATGCTACATACATTTACAAACATCTTCTCAGTGTTCAAGTGCTGTATGCTTCTGACACAGAAACTCAGAAATGCCTAGTGGGGTACTTGAAAAATTTCTATTAATAACTAATGAAATGCAGTGATTTATTGCATGGATTTTATATAGGGCTCTTCTTGCTTTGAGATGAAAACTGAAGCAGCTCTGTGAATGAGCAAGCAGAGGATGCTCCCTGAAGGTTTGCAGTGGTGTGGGTGACACTCTTCTTGTCTCCCCAAAGGTGAAGTGTGTCATATCCTGAGCTCTTGCAATCTTTACCAGCCTGGAAAGCTACAGGCTATTCCCAGAGCAGGCTATCTCACATTCACACATGCTTCTTATGTGGTTCGATTTCTTCCTTCTCCCATCCGTATTTTTTCCTTGTGTATAAAGAAAATAAAGGACTGAAGACAGAATGGATGCAGCAAAACCTAAGTAAGAATAGAGCTGAGATAATACTGTTGTATCCCTAGCTTACAATATTATGTAACATAGAGTTTCTCAACTTGGATTTTAGCACAAACTGCTGGTTGTCACAGTAAGTTCTTAGTGTAACAACTGAGCCAACCAATTTAGGGAGCTTCAACTTTGTCTAAATAATAAATGCTACACTGAATAAGACACAGAGTGGGACAAGGCAAGTCTTGTGAAAACTCCAACCATCACATGCATTCCTATTTCATTTATTGTATTTTTCCGTTTAGAATCAAGAGAAATGATTGATCAAAGATTAAACTAAAAAGAAGCTCATTTCTGTCTATTGTTAGTAGAGATAAATGCTAAGCTGGTACTAGTATATTCCACTGAACAATGGAAAATTTATCTTTATTCTGTTTTCATTGTCTTTTTTCTACTGAAAGGAAAGGGAAAACGAAAGTTGTAGAATTCTCACTAAAAATGTGTAGCACAGCTTGAGTATATCATTTCAAAAGGCATGCAGTAGCACAAAAAAAATGTGTTGCTACATTTATTGCAAACTAAAAAGAAGACTATAGTGTGGAGTTTCCAACAATAATACTTAAGATGTTTAAAGACCTGTGCTCTGGAATGTTCTAGAGAAGTCACATTCTGCAACTTCAAAACCCTTCTTGCTAAGTCCTAGTACATGAACACTGCTTTCAGTAATTCAATTTAATGGGGAATTCATTCTGTACATGCTCAGAAGCAGTTTTCCCCTCCACTGATTTATGAGCTTTGGGGTTAAATTCTGTCCAGAAAAACAGGTTCTGCAGCTGAAGTCCAGCACAAATCTTAGGAGCTGGTGGGCAGTATAGATCAGAGGATGAGTGCTGTGCAGTTAACTCAAGCAAGCAGTTAAGTAAATAACTTGTCAGATTGTTTCAACAGCTAAAAATATTTTTTTCCTAATGCATTTGACTGAAAAGGAAAAATGTTAGGTAGATGATAATTTAGCAGATGTCTAGTTTTGCTTCATCAGCCTGAAACAGGCAATTTTTGGCAACTCTTCCTCCTCCAATACAATGTTACAACCTGTGAATTCCTCATGGATGTGCCTCTCACAAGCTTCCATTTTCACTCTTGCAAAAACAACTGAAATTGCTCTTGAAACACACACACACACACACACACACACACACACACACACACACAATGTGAAGATCTGAAAGAAATAAAATGTAGTCTCAGAAAGTGATAGCTGTTTATATGATTTTTATTTCATTGTTCTAAAAAAGAACACATTTCAGGCAACAATGGACATTTCAATATTATTTACCTCGAAGGCAGAAATTTGAAACATTTTTAGAAATACAGTGTTTGCCAGTGAAGGGGGTATAAGCTCCAAGGAAAAGAAAAGCACCTTAAGACAAGCATGTTTGGAAACAGTTAAATGCAATGCAGCCATCAGCAAATAACATATATATCAACAAGTGCAAAATTGTGTCTTCACATATATTGCATTCTGGACATCAGCTATACTTACACAAACCTGGGAGTAAATAAAAAAATTAAAGGAAGTGGACAGTATAAAATGTACAATATGGTTATGCCAGACAATATAGTGGCAATTCTTTGCATTTTTTATTTTTGAAAATGTAAGCATGTGAAACCCAAATTAAAAAAGGCAGCTCTTCCTCCACTGCTTCAAGAATGTCACATTTGTTATTAAATAATTATGGGATGTATAGAGCATAAAGCAATGCCTTAATGTAACTTTGCCATCATGATGTCAGTCATGCATCTTTAAATCAAATGACTGAAAATAAATTAGGCCAGCTGGTCATGTGCAGGAACACATTTTTAGAAATGTAAGGTGTTTAGCCACATAGACAATTTCAGCTGTATGATATACGGTAATTTTATCTTTGGAAACTGCAACCATAATTGCATTCATAATGCAATGATCCACTTGACAAAGGAATGTAAATGGTTAAGTAAATACAAATTAGTGATCATTTGTTTGTTTTGGAAAAGACAGGTGAAACAATAGATGCATCACCATTGTTTACAAAATTTCTGGGCACAATTCAAGCTTCTTATTTTGACTGATAAATAGCCTGCTTCTAAAACTATTGAAAGTTTTGGTGGCAAGATTCATTTGAGTTCTTTGTCATTTGAACCTTTCACTTCTCACTGCACCCTCTGGGAGTGTTGTTTTTCCCTCACTGTTAATCTGATCTCCTTTATGTGTAATTTCTAGGGCATACTGCCCTCTCCTCTTAAAACGGACCTGCTTAGATCATAGAACATTTGTCTTCCCCTCCCCCAATCAGCTTGACTAGGACTATGCTTAGCAAACCATAGGAGACATTCCAGTAATTTCTCTTAACCTAAAAAAGCCACCCCTTCCTTCAGTGACTTGCCTAAAACTAATTTTTTTTCCCCTTGGGACAGCATAACTTCTGTTTAGGCTTTTCTTTGGCAGCATATACACTCATCATGTACCACAAGTCATTATGCAGCTAGACCATCTTAAGACCACTGAATCTGAAATTATAACAATAATATAATATAATAATGTTATGCATTGTAATGTAATGCAATACATACTTCTTAGTTTTATCTTACAGAATATGATTCCCATCCCAGAGCTTCAGTTAGAGCATGACATATGATAGCATAAAATTAATGGGGCTTTTTATTTCAGATAAACAAACATGCCTGCACTTTGCTTTGTTGTATATAACATTTGTTGAATACTAAACATCCTTAATCCTTAATGACATCTGTGTGGTGCAGTATTTACTAGGGGGGGTGGGTGAATGTTCTTGCATTCTCATTGAGATGTCAATTACAAGAAAAGGGCAAAAATATTGCCTGAGGGTGTTGAGTTCTAAATTAGGACACTCATACTGACAGAGGGATTAGCTCACTCTTTGAGAAAGAGAAGAAAGATGCAATGCTGAGGCATACTTAAAGCCAGCGAACGGATCCTGCTTCCACAGTTAAGGGTGCCTTTCCATAGGTACCCTCCATTAAATATGAAATGTTCCTGTCATAGCATTTTTTGCTTTGACACAAATAAGGTGAGTTTAAAAGCAATGCAAATGTAAGCACAAAGGTATGAAAAGAAGTCTTCGATTTCTGAAGAACATCAGCTCAAAAAGATCCCCCCTCCCAATCCCTCTCAGTTTCTGTGTAATCTGCACAATGAAAAGTTAGGCTCGATATACATATTCTTATACTGAAATCATGATCAAAGTGCAGCTTGTTTCTTTGTGTAGATATTCATTGAGGGGGGAGTGAGAAGCACACATAAGAAACACTGAAATGGAATTCAGGTCAAGGTAAAAGCACTTGACACCTGATAACTTAGATGAATAGAGCCTGTTTAGAATTAACAACTCCACCCTTTTACTAATCCTGTGTAAAACAGATTTTAGCATTGTTTTACCAGCCTTTAATATCTTTTTTTTTCCTTTCAAGCAGGAGTACATTTCTGCTCTGAATTGCTGCTTTACCCTTGAAGACTTGTTGTGTTGATGCTGCTTGCTGCTGAAACAAGTACAATCAAATTTTCTCTTAAATCTCCTTCATTTTCCTTGTAAAATCTCAATATGTATTTGAAGGTTTTTGTAAGAAATGAATTTGACTATTAATTTAATTGTTGAAGACTGGCTATATAACAGATGCAACAACAATATTCTTCATAACTTTTTTCAAATGAATCTTAAGTCAAAAATATAACCTAGCTTTTGAATAACTTGAAATCAGTGTTGGACTCATAATTTATTATTACATTCTTTCTCATTTTGTATAGCAACAATAAATGTGAAGTTAAACTCATTATTATTTGTTATCACTTTCTTTATAAAATGCCACCAATATGTGATGCTTTATTTATCCCCCATTGATCAAAATGTCTGAACAGTATCAAAATTAGGAATTTATTGGGACAGGGAGTTCCACAGTCTGGGTGCCATCACAACCAAGGCCCTTC